AAATAATAGTGATATATGATATTGTTTCCAACAGGATTCAACAGTGGCTTACTCGAGTGCGAGTAAAATTGAACTACAGTTGAATTGAATTATTGCAGCGCTTCGCCCAACCCCTAATAACGTGAGTATACGCTTTAAGACCCTTGGATCACGTATGAGGGAACAGAGAAACAGAGCGCCTTTTGAAAGGTAGCGAGGGAGACGTGAAATCTATATTTTGGGCTGAGAATTAACGCCACTTACCATGAACATCGCACCTCTTGCAGAGCAATAAAAATATCTAGCCCTAGATCAAAAGCCCACGAGCTGGCTTGTGCCTCTCATATGTGATGACGAGGCGACATTGATGCTTTGGGATGGAATGATGTAAGAATTGATGAAACAGAATTTTGAGCTCCCTGCATGAGCACCAAGTTATCAGGGTCTCAGGATGATAGCTGTCATTAAACCCTTTCCTGAGATCTATTGTCTTATATATAAACCAGGGACTTTTATTGAATTATGAGTACTCCATAGACTTCTCTCCCGATTCTCAATTATCATTTCCTTACCTCTGGTTAGTATCATTTCTTATCACAGCATATCTTTCACTGTTTTTATAAATTTTACTCCTCATAACCCTTCAGCTACAAACCTACCACGACAATAGATCCTCTTGAAGCTCCTCTCGCATTACAATTTCAACTCAAGATCTGTGATCGTCTTCTTTTACATTTGATACTTGTCAAGCTTGCTTAAACGTCACTTCTACAAATCTTTACACATAAACTGGACATCTCTTCAATCAATTTCAAACGGAATCCAATCCAGACATAAATTTCTTTCATATCTTAACATGCTTATCCAGATACCTTCAATCCAATCTTCTGTCATTCCTTTATTTCTCTTTTTGATTACTCTTGAAGCAAGCTTTGTGACATCATCAAATCCTTTACGATCACAACGAAGATCTGCCGTTCAACCTTACGCACCAAACGGGTTGAACGCCGGCGTTTATCATACCACACTCAAATCTAGTTGCAAAATTCCTCAAGCCACAAAGGTGATTACTGTAGACACACCCATCAAAGTTGGAGCTGGAGAAACATTCGATTGTAAATTAGCTAAGTATCAGCGTACAGATAGAAGTTGTAATTTAGACGTCGAAAGAGGAGGAAATCAAGCTGTTTTCATTCTTCAAGAGGGTGCTACTTTAAAAAATTGTATCTTAGGTTATTCTCAAGAAAGTAAGTTGATCTTAGAATTTCTTTCCAATCGATCATAATCCCAGAATGCTTTCTAATCATAAGATACACTTTTTTCCCCTTCTCTAGGTGTTTATTGTCGTGGTCAATGTACAGTAGAGAATTGTCATTGGTTACAAATTTGTGATGAAGCAATTGCGTTTTATATGCCAAGTGGAAAAGCAACCGTCAATAGTTGCTCATTCTCGAACGCAGGTAACAAGGTGCGCATTGTCTTTTGATTTCAGCTGGATGCTTCACACATTTCATGAACATATATTCATTTGCTTTGATTTTGCTTATCTCTAGGCTTTACAATTCAATGGGTAATTTTGTCTTACGATACATTCCTTAGCTCGGTTCATTTTGTGAGAAAATGGATTAATGTTTTGTAATGATTTCTTTTCATCGTCTCAGGGGAGGAACGGTCACTGTCAATAACTCCTGCTTCAACAACGTGGATATTGCTTATCGGTTAGAATCTCATTAAATCATTGCTCTTTAAAATCTCGCTAATTTTTTGGATATCTTTATTTAGCTCTTGTGGAAAGAAATGCTCAACAGCCAAGAGGGCAGTCGTCTTCAATCATAACACCATCGATGGTGTGAATACCTTTGCTGGATATAATGAAAAGCATGGTGATACTGCGCATATTGCAAGTTCTTCTGGGCAGGCTATCAAGCACATGTGTGAGGCTAAAGATTCAGATACTCCAAAAGGTCACACGCCAGCAGGGTAAGTCAAACATTCAATTTTTAAATCTGAATAGAAGCTTCAAGACGAGCACGCTTTACTGAATCTTTTTCACATTGTATAGGTGCACCTTCGCATGATCAGGGTGCATGTTTCCAGGGTTTCTCAATCTTTCTTAGAATCAATCTTTTGGTGTTGAGTTACAGTCAGATGTTTTCCGGTTTATTGACTAGACTTGATTGATGTGCTTCCAAGATACTACAGGATTGATGATTTATTCATCGCGGCAGATAGATATTGAAATTCATTGATGGTTCTAATTTCTTTTTGTGATAATCTCTAAATCTTTTTTTGATTATTCGATACTCTGATTGCGGTCAATCTTGTACCTAGAGGTTTCAAAGTCTGCTAAATATACAAAAACTCCAGGAGTATGTAGATGAATTGTTCTGTTCAAGACGTCTACCGCTTAAAGCCTACTAAAGTCTGACGACACGGTCTAGACTCTAAACACCCAAGGCTTAGGAGGCATGTCATTGACAGCATTTTGACCAATGTAAAAGATTTTTTGGAAATTTACCTTGATGAGTGTTATGACCTAGAACAGGGTGATAATTTGACAAAGAACATCGTGGTATAAATTGCAAACTTGGTATAATTCCTTCCGTCCAAACACTATCTTTCGTTTCATTCCTTCCGTCCAAACACTATCTTTCGTTTCACAAAACAAGTAAAAGAAATAGAAACTTATAAAATGCACACACACACAAAGAGATTCTAATTGATTGCAAACTTTTAAAAAAAATCATATTCAAGAAACACGTATACTTTCCTTCACGATACAAACTACATCCTAAATTGTTTCAAAAAACTTGATCCTTGCTATCATGATCTGTTCATTACTAAGAACATCAAAGCATGATATTTCACCCAATCAGCAGGCCGATATGCAATATTATACTTTTTTATCCAAACATGACACGTATCAGGTTTGAATTGGTCATCGAGAAAAATCGGGAATTGGTATCATCACTGGTGTCGTTATCAAATTTTCATAGTTATGGGTCGTTTCTTATAGATATATTCATTCACAGGACTTTATGAATGACTTGATCAAAAGACAAAATGAAGATCGAAAAGAAAGTAAGATGAGCAAATCAGATGAAGGAATTTAACAAAGCTTTGAATTACATACCAAAGATAAAATCAAAGTCTTCATGATCACCAAAACCCAGCTCCCTTTGTCCTGATTCCCTTCGCTTGATTTAACTGAGCTCGATGCTGTCCGAATCCACGTGGAGTCGGTTGATCAAGATTTCTTGCACTATTGTTCTGACGTGGATCTCGATTCTGCTTGAAACTCAATTCAGGATCATCTTTCCCCATTCCGATGATCATGGGCCGAGCAGAAGTAGAATCATGCGACTTTCCAAAATCTAAACTTCTACCTTTCCCTTTGATCGGTTGTTGTGATTCAGGTCGGCTCCGATCGATCAACATAGATCGCTGTTGACGTCTTAATCCTTCTGGATGATTGTGTTTTCTAAAGAGTCGATTGAATTGTGCTTGCATCGGTCTGAGTTTGAGTTTCGTTGGTTGTAGCGCCAGTTCCTCTGCTGCAGACGAGGGTGTGTTAGGCCCGTTGTAGTCTTGCGTGCTCTCTGATTCTCCTCCGCCACCTGCTGCTCGACTAGTCACACTATCCCTACTACCTCTTCGACTATTATTGGCTTGTAGGGCACTCAGAAAGCTTTTGACTCGTTTTAGGCTGCTCATGCTTCGTTTGCCCGTACTGCTGGCAACACTGCTTCCGCCAGTCTTCGGTCTGTTCTTGGTCAGTTTCGATGGCCGCCTATTCAACTGTTCGAAATCAGTCCGAGGTGGAGGATAAGATGATGATGCAATCGAAACATGGCTAGTTGAAGGATTTCCACTTAGTTGATTATCTCTACGGAGGTCTATGAAGCTTTGAGGCGTTTGACTATTTCTTGGCATCCGTTCTTGAAACTGAGATACCGGTATCCCATGCCCTCCAGAAGCTTGTGATGGTATACGGGGGCTTGGAAATGGGATGGCTGCCGATTGCGTATTTGGATAGACCGGATGAGCTGGTTGAGATGAGAGCTGGTTATAAGGGTGATGACTCCAATTAGACTTCAGCTGCTCTTCCTCTTGAGCTTGTACCCAGGCTCTGGTATCCGGTACAGGAAGCTTCACAGGTTTACTGTTCTGCCTTTCGTCTTCATCATTTGAAAGCTGTCTGATGTTTTGTTGATTGATAGGAGAAGTGGGTGGAGGATATGGATTTATCTCCGGATTGTAGACTATTGGTTTGAAATGATATGATGTAGAGGCTTCAGGTTGATGTTGGTCATGATTTGGCTGGTAGTGATGATCTGGATACCGATCTGGTTGAATCGAGTTCAGCTCTAACGGTCGATTGTTTGCCTGATCATAATTTGGCCGTCTTTGATCAGACATCATGAGCGGATCAACAAAAGACTCAACCATTGGATCTGATCCACTTCCATTCGTGAGTGGGGCTTTCCCTTTATGGTCCGATGGGTTCGAATTTGGCTTGGGTTCCAGGTTTGATTCGTTTTGAAACTTCTGAGGATCAGGTGGGTGATTGAAAGAATCTTTCAAGTCACTATAGTTTTGGTCATCAAGTGCTAAGATATTCGACTCCTGTTTTTTATGCTGATGATGCTGTGGATTCGAGGATGTTGGCAAGGTAGGATTGTGTTGATATGGCTCTGGTGATGGTACAAAGCGTTTGGGTGAATCTGGGTTCACAACTTTCGGTTGATCATCAGTTGTCAAGTTGATTGCTCCATGTCGTTCGTGAGCTTGGAGAAGGTAATCGATTTGAGAATGATGCTTATTCCTGCGTGATTTGATTTGTTTGTGAGTGGCGTTGGGATCTAATGAAGCTTGAATCATAGCCTCTTGAGCTCTATGTTATGCAAAAAGACGAAAGACAAGGGGACACAAAAAAAGGCAAGAGAAAAGAAGAAACAAGAAAAGAGTTTAGTGGAAACAGTCACAAAAAAAACCCCTGAGGAATTTTGCTCTGTGATTTTTGCAGATAATGTGAGGTATAATTGCAAGGACAAAAATGCGGTGTAGCGGAAGACTGCAGGATTAAAAGCTCCAAGGGGTACAAGACGGAAATCACTGCGATGGGTCGGGTGGAACTAACTTTGAAATGACACTGGCTTCCCAATTGAGAGCAGCTAAGACGGCACCTGGATTGATAAATCGAAAAGTAAGATAAGAATTGAATTAGTGATTTTATGCTAGATGAAGAAAATGATTTGAAATGAAAACGTACCATCATATGAAGTCGATCGATTGATGAGTTTAATTGCACCGGCAAAGGCACGAAAACACCTTTGTATCATCCAAAATCAAAACAGAATCAAAGATCAGCCTGGAATGAATGAAATCAAGGAATAGAAAGATAGCTAACCTCAATAAGTAATCTCTTTTAACATTATCCTGATGTACAGCACCCAATGAAAGCAAATGATCCAGTTCATCTACAAGTTGATGTACCATTTCAGTTTTATGTTCAGGATCCCTAAAAGTCCGAACTTCTAAAGAATTCAAAGCTGATAATCTAAGGATTTCTTTTCTAAGATCATTTCCATATTTGTTTTTGAGTAAAGTTAAAGATTGAATGAAATTTGATTTTAATTCGATGGGTTGAAGTGAGAACCAATTGAGAGCGTTTGAATTGGATTGAAGTGATAAGATCAAGTAATCGAGTTTAAGTTGATCATCTTGATCTGATATGTTTTGAGTTTTAAACCAAGAGATTAATTTGAGTTGATGTAAATCCCAAGAATCATGAAGGTGACCATTGAAGCTTGGTAAAGGTGTTGAAGTTGAGCTTGAAGTTGAAATCGTCATTTTCAAAACCAATCGATCGAATGTAGTATTGACTCTTGCCTCTAAAGGAAATTAGTTGTTGCCTATCACCAGTTGCTTCTTTCAAAAGATCAAGTTGAGGAAATATACAAAATGAACTAATGAAAACAAAGTAGAGATGAGATTTTATAGCGAAGAAATAGAAGAAAGAAGTCAAGTAAAGAAGTCAAGAGAAGAAATCCAAAGAAAAGAAACTTCAGCAAACAAGTAAACAACAAGTCAACAACTCATCAAACTTCAAATCTACACTCTACATTCTACATACACATGTCACAATCTAATCACGTGACCCCTTTTCACCGCGCAATTTCCCCCTTTTTCCTCTTTCCACCCTCAATTAAGCCGATCAAGACTTCAAAGTTCGAAGCTGTCAAATCTAAATCAAATCTTTGGGCGAAATTCCAGGAAATAAACTTCAATAAAAAGATGGTGACAAACTCCGAACTATATTTTGTACATATGAACCCCACCCAACCTGACGCGTTATTTGTTTTTGAATCACTTCGGAAGTTTTTGGAGATGGTAGAAAGAAAGAATCAAAGAATATTGGAATGAACGATTGATGATTGAAAAATTGATTCATAAAACTTTCTTCGGATCTACAAAGTAAACAAAGTGAAAGAATGGATTGCTTCAAACAATCTGGGAAATGTTGTTTTGAGAGTAAACTACAGTTTTATAAAAGTGATCTCGATCAAACCAAGGATATCTTTCATTCTCATCAGTAACACGGACAACAACAAGAACAACAATCTTCGCATCCGATCGCAAGAACCACCATGACATTCCTCAAGGCCATCGATCAATGGTTCTCAAATCTAACCACAAATTCAATCTCAACTTACTTTCCAATCTCAACTTTTACTTTACTTCATTCGATTCGAGTGGCTTATCTATATCATTCAGTATTACAATCACAAGGCTTTAAAGTAGGTATCAAATCAAATCAAGTTTCATTCTTACAAGCCAGTTTGGTTTCCACAACTTTAGTCATCAGTGGTACGACGATGGCTTCGGTTTTGAAAGGTGAACCATGGGGTTTGTTTGCCGATCAAGGTGCTGGTTATATGGTTTCGGCTTATATGTAAAAACAATTTATGAAATCTTATATTTCACATTCTTTGAATTTTTTACTTTTTGATGAATTGATTTCTTTTTTTCCCCACATTCGTTTCTCAAAAATAGGTTAAGTGCTATGGGAATGAAATGGTTACATCCTATTCTATCTAGCTTACCAGAAGATCCATTAAAAGTTTTATGTTTCTTGATTGATGGTTTTGCAACCACTTTTGGTCAGTCTTCTTTTGGCTCAAGTTGATTGATCTTTCAATTTCACTGATTCAATCTATTGGAAAGATTAGGTACATTGACCCTAGGATTAAAACCAGTGCTTCAAAATCCTCAAATGACATCAAAGACAACCGGTCCATTAGCTTTACCTACCTTAATCTTACCACTCTTATGTGGTTCAGGTGCTTCGATCTTAGTCCCATTCTTTGGTCTCTTGAAACCTAAATTCTCTTTCACTCATCCTGGATTCTTATCTGAACGTTTACCGGTGGATTTCTGGGGCACTTTTCTCATCACGGCTATCTATGGTACCATTGTGGATGGTAGGGGTGTGATCTTTGGTAATTTAAGATCTTTGTTATCTATCATTGGAATTGGTAATAATTTTAAACAAACAGAAGCTTGGATGGGATCAGAGGATGCACATGTGTTATGTTCTTTGATCTTATCAGGGGTTTATATCGTCAATGAGTTTGGTCCGGGTATCTTCCTTGGTCCTTTGATTCCTTCAAAACCTATGAAGACTCGAGCACCAAGATCGAATATGGAAAAACCTAGTCAGACTCTCTCTTGTGATTATTTTCCGAAATAAGCCAATTATTGACGATTTTCTCATACTCAAATTGTAGGAAATATGGCCGTCACCACTGGTTATGCTACAGCACAACCAATTCCTGCTCATGAATTGAAAAAAGTAAAAGAAAAACAATAAGTTTATTCAAAGTTTCATACTATCTATCATCCTCCGTTAAAACTCATCAACTTTTACGATCCACGAGAAATCTGTCACGAATCACTGAATGTTTCTTCAAAAAATCCTTTCTAATCAAACCTCTGCGGGTCTCATTCTATCTCAGCGCAAGAGTATTTTGGTTTGTTGTATTCATTTTCTTCAATGTACCCTATATGATCCTACGAAAAGAACAAAAATTGCAAGAAAAAATATTTTTTGAACCTCTTGAGTACCATATGTTGAGCGGGCCTCATGTGCCAAGCAGTAAAATGTATGACTTGCGCTGCCCATTCACATTACAAAAGCACAGCCAATGTACCAGCCGCCAAGAAGCAAGTAATTGTTGGGCAATGCCACACAGAGTGTACTTATACTGGGATAAATGTCAGCCAAACCTTTCAATCCCATCACACAGGGATATGAACGCATCCTAATCACCAAGCAAGTGGCTTACAATGGAAAGCTGATGACAGTACTGATGGTGAAAACCGATGTGTCAATGATGTTTGAGATTGATCATTTGTATGAGGAGATATCAAGTCATCAAAAATTATCATCTCTCCTTTGTTGCCGCCAGGTGCACCGTAAATAGCACACTGATCAGCACAAAACCACATGTGTGATCATAGCTTTCTAGGACCTCCTTGATATATCAACTTATATCTATCTGTTGATTGGGATCATTCTAAGCCAACTCATGATGTGGCATCTCATTCTCCAAAAATATCCCCATCAATCATCCACAATGTCTTTGCCCTATGCCACGTTGTGCATCCAATCTTATCACTTGTCTTGGTACTACTACCATCTGAGGTAGACCAAGCAATGTCACATCTCTTCTTCTCACACGTATCCAACTCTTGACATCCAGACAACAATTCCTCAAGAGTTGGTGTCAGCCAATACCTCATCGCCGTATAACAGGTTCTCGGATATTTTTGTCTTGGTTGGTAACATCTTGGGTAGCTACATATCTTCTCAAGTCTTTTCATACTCTACTCAGATCAATTTGACAAAACCTACGCAAAGCGTCCGAAAAAATATGACGAAAAACCTTCTGATCAGTTTAGGAAGGTTATCCACTACCCATAACTTCTGCCTATCACATAACAAGATCAATCACTGTGACATACGTCTCTAACAGAAAAGTTCTTGTGTCATGCAATTGAAAACCAGACTTTGAACGGCTGTAAGTTTTAAAGAGAATAAGTAAAACAAAGAGATAAAGGAAATAGAATGTATCGGTTGAATTAAAATTATGTTGTGTATGGGTACCCTTCTCTCGCTTCCCAACACCATTACTTTTCTGATCATTCACACTTGAGTAATCGTGCCTTCGTCAAGTCTAGCTTTGGTCATCGCTGCAATGATCGCACTTCCTACCCCTGAACCATCTTCTGCATGATATGTTTTCTGCATCATCAAAGCCCCCCACACAAACAAATGTCTATCAGTCAAATGTGACATAGGTGCGAGAGAGAGGAATGAGAGAGAACTGACAATTCCTCGACCCTTTTCACCAAATATATCGACGAGGGCTTGATGCAATCGTTCAGGGAATTGGGGGTATTTCTGTAGGGGGATCAGTAGCGTTGCGCTGGTTCAGGAGCCACTCTGCGCGTCTGGTTGCAGAATGAAATGACAAACATTGTATAAACTACCATCAGTGGCTACACCGCAGCCAGCGTCCAACATTCCAGTCTTGGAGACAATAGCGGCGATTCCACATGCTGACAATCTGGCACTACGAGTGCCGATGAGTTGAGCTAATCGGCGGAAAAATTGACGTTCAGAAATCGTGGTATCCAACATGAAGAAATGAGTAAAGAGGCCAGTGACAGTCAAGAGTTCTTCCGTCGGGTCACTGTATAACGTACGACATATCAATAAATTTGTATCCTATAAAGAGAAGAAGAAAGCCAAACCTTTCGATCAAGCTCAAGAACGCAGTATCGAAACAAAAGCTCTTTTCGATTTTATAGGTATTCTGGCCCAAGAACAAGATACCTTCCTCAATCATCTCAACCACAATCAACCGAAAGATCTCACCCAAGTACAACCCAGCAATCATCTTTTCAAATGCTTGTTCACCAGGCTTATTGGAAGTTTCATCAATGATCAGATCATACTTGGTTCGAGGTAAATGCTCATGTTTCTCGCTATCGAATGCACCCCATTCACAATTGATTGCCATCTCAGCGTCAGGAGGGAGTCCAAGATGGGCGATCTTGGGGATGTTGGAAATTTTCTCCATGTAAGCCGCATTGCAGCCTGTACCAAAGATCACGCCAATACGGGTCGAAGGATCTACATAGGATGATGCGATGAGCGTGCCAGTGGTATCATTGATCAAAGCCGTGAGTTTGATGGGTACGTTCTGTGATGAAGCAAAAATTTCGAGTTGATAGAAGCACGCTTGTGTAAGGATTGATCTGGTAGATAAATCTTAATCAAGGAAATTATATCATACGTGTTTCTTCAATGCCTTTGCAAACATCTCGCCCACATCATGTCCCTCCACGTTGGGGTTACCAAACCCTTTGGTCCATCGCAGGAGTTCTCCATGATCAATCCGCTTTTGACTGAGATGATCGATAAAATGAGCATCAGCCATTTACGTCTGATTGAGATATCGAAAGCCAGAAAACACACATGCAAGGATAACTGAACGTAAACCCTAAGGCGATCTCTTCTTCAAGTTGCAGGTTACCGGCCTCATCGGCATATTGGTCGTAAATAAATCTATTGTGACACATAAATGAACGTATACCTCAATTATTTTACGATCTTCAGATGACTGGCATAAAAAGGATTCATACGTGTGTAAACATTCTGCGCAAAAGTCGAACAATTTCTCGCCTTCCTGTTGCTTTTGTTCTTCAGTTAGTTTGTACTTTGCTTGGGTGATTTCAAACTTTCCTTCGCCTTCTAATTCAACATGACAAACTCTCAAATTTGTTCCACCTAGAAGATTATTAAGATCAGTATAGAAACATGGTCAAGAAATAAGTAGAAGAGACAGTCTCGAGTCTTACCTAAATCTACGGCGAGATAAGGACCAGTCTCTTTGCCTGAGGGCCAGCCAAAGACATAGGTAGGTATCATGGGCTAAGGCGAGTGGCGATCAAGCAAATGATTAGCAGGTGTCAAGAAAAAGAGCTGAAAACCATGTACAAAACCCAAAACTTACGACAGCTTGTCCATTTTCTTTGAGACCAATTTCAAGAGTGTCAATAAACGCATCGACAATCATCCTCATCCTGTGGTCATTCCGCAAAGTGTAAGAAATCAAATAGCCTGAAATTGTGGAAAAGAGTGGATTGACGGTTTACCTTTGGGGAGTAACCGTGAAGAGATGCTCAAACTTGCGCAAATAGTCTGCCATTTGCATCTTTGTCGCATGTGGAAGTTCAGCATTCTCGTGAGTTCTATGATAGAGTGGTGTGTGAGAAGGATGGTAGTCGGAACCATGATGTGAGTGACGAATGAGTGGAATTCGAACAGATGCCGGCAAAGAGGTGGTGGTCATAGATCGACGGTTTGATCGAGAAGATGCATGATTTGTGAGAAGCCGATTGATATGTGAAGTGCCATTAGTAGGCGAACAGTCGTTGAAGAGTGGTTTGTGACGAAGAGCGGTGGCAAAAGGAGTTGAGAGGTCGAGGGTATCAGATGGAGTGATCGATTGAGTTGAGTTGGAGGTTGAAGGGGTACAGAGTGGAGTTTGATCGAATGCAGACGGAAGGTCAACGGAAGGGGTGGCGAGAGGTACAGCGGAATGAGGCATGATGCGAGTTGAGAAACAAATGTTTAGAAATCAGTGTCAGTGGTATAATACTTATCACCAATGAGCTGGTCAAGCGGTAAAAGGTAATAAGGAGTCTGATGATCTAGCCGAATGCCAAATTCAAAAGGAATCCAAAGAAAACCAAAGAAGGAAATCAAGACGGAAATCCAAGCAGAAAGCTCAAATCGATCGAAACCAATGGCTGAATCAGAACCAACGATCCAACCCGCATCATGGAGCGAAAGCACTTGAGTCCATAAAATACAAGGATATTAAGGATATCTTAATTGGATAAGTTGTTATCATACAAATTCAATCGATTTCAACCATCGATTGAAATCGATGGATTCGTTAAGGTCAACCAGCTTGAACCCACCGGCATGTGGATGTGAAGAGTTTGTACAGTCTTTCTAGGATGATATTGGTCGACTGTATGTAAACTGCAGTACAGTCTTAATCAGGTCAGTTGAGTCGTGGGGAGAAGAAGAAGGAATCTGGCTGTCTAGGATTATAAAGCCAAGCTCAGAGAAAAGCGAGATGTTACCCGATGAGTGTTTAGGATGATAGATGGATGAAAGGAATTGAAGATAAAAGAAGGACAGATAAAGAAGATTCAAATACCTAGTATGAACTACGATTGAACCTCTACCATCAGCTAAACTTCGACTACCACTACGTCTTCTGATGGTAACACTCTTTCGAGTATTAGGATCGAATCCATGAGGATGATGATGATGATGTTGATGAGCAGCTGTTTGTGATTTTGAATGATTTGAGTTAGAATGATTAGCAGTACTTGAATTGGAGGTAGTCATCTCTTTTTTTGTTTAGTATTTGAAAGGGTTTAAGTTTGAAATGATCGGGTAAAGAAATCCAAATGCTTTTGTAGTTATTTTGTATTTTGAGATTGAGATATGGAATGATGAGATTGTAAGTTGAAGGAAGTTTGATTGATTGATTGATTGATTGATGGTTAGGTTGAGATTGATCAAGTCTTTTGAGACAGAAGGGATCCTAAACTGATGGATGGATGGATGATTTTAATTTTACTTCTGTGTTTTGAGATCTTGATATTTACAGGATGATATCTTAAATGAAGTTTAATATCGTAGCAGTAGTACTCTGATCAACTTTTTACTTGTCTCAATCAGTTTTCTCTCTTTTATCGTTCTTGAAGATGGTTGGGGTTCATACAAACTCAATTATTAGGACTTTTTTAATATCCTAGATTAATATAAATCTCCTTATCCTTATATCGCACACTATATGAGATGACCTTAACACCTTCTCATCGTAATCACTACCAACACTGATCTGATCTTTCAATTTCATTTGCTCAACTTTCTCAGCTTTGATCTGCTTTGATGCTTCTTATCTTTGATCATCATCATCAAATGTGAAAAATCAATTGCAACTACCAGGACGATCTTGGACTGAGCAGGATGCTCTACAATTGTATCCAGTGAGCTTTCTGTCATTCCATTTATTCCATTTCCATAAGTATAACGAGTTCCTCAGAGTCATCACAGCAAAATTCTCGATCAACCATGCTTGAAGTTACACAGCGTATTGAACTTGAATGCTGTCGAGAAAGCAGTGTTGACGTATGTACATGACTCACAGTGGTAATACGGCTAATACGGTGCTCATTTCTGTGTACAAGAAAGTCTCCAATCATGTGGGCTCCGGGAACCATCCTCGACTTGATCCTATTCGAGATAGCAAACTGAAAAATGAAGCTGAAGGGTTCGAAGCTGTACTCATCTGTCCAAATTCATCATGACTTCAATTTATGCTATGAGCGGTTATTACTGCATTTTCACAATAGGATTTCGAGGACTGGCAATTTGAGCAACTCAAATGTGTTAAATTATGTTTAGAAAACTCTGAGGGCGGTTCAAGTCAATAGTTGCGATCCACCTGTTTGCAGAGTCGCGATCAGTCTTTTTAGGGTTGTCCGATCCTTAAAATTCCTGATCGCGACTCTGCGAACGCACTTATAATTAGGTTTTATGGCTTTACCTTTTCAGGTACACCGTCTGCGAATGCGCCTTTTTTTCCTTGCTTTTTTAATTGTCTCTTGTTTTTGTCAGGAATTTTTTTTTTTTTCATCAATTTGTTTTAATGAAAATACGCGTTTGACGCACCACGAGTGGAACACCAAAAAAAAAACCAAAGAAAAAAAAGGTTTTTTTTGGTCCTTCGCACCGGATTTTTTTACGATGCCACGGCAGAGAATTATAAATTTTAAGACAACTAAGCAGATCGCAAAATGGTGAACCACCTCTAAAGGTGGTTCACCAACTTTAAATTTTACTTAAAATTTAAAGCCCCCGAACTAAATGTAAAACTTAAAAAAGGGCTGTAAAAGGGCTACTTGAACCGCCCTATTCTGAACGACGTTTCTAATTTTTCTTTGGATAGCTGAGAACTATCTTATGACCTTGAAAATTATGGAAATCAGTGAATGGATCCTCTCGACGTTCCCAAAACTCATGGAAGTTTTGATATGTCTTGATATCTTGACCATGCATCCTGCAAGTCACTTCTGACAGCATGGAGACTCCTGAGTCCTGATCGTGAAGCTGCCTCTTGGTAGCTGTAGGTGGATATACATATTGTAACTCCTGGAACAACTCTGGGCACCACTGTGATCACAAACAAACATGGGAACTCGTGCAAAGATGACACCATACATCTTTATTGATATTC